CATGCCCGAAGGTTTTTTCCAAGATGTTTGGCTAATGAAAACATCCATTGTGATGTAGATGAGAACCTGTGGCCAAATCCACAAGACAGAGTTGATGAAAATGTAGAAGTACAGTAATCACTCCTATGTTTTGCTTTTTACAGTACAAGCAAGCAAGTTGAGGAACACTGCATTTGATGTTTTACAGTACTGTATTGTTTTTCATCAATATATTTCAGATTTTGTTCAATGATTCCACTGTGTCTGTAGTATTCTCGCTACTACTGCAGTACTTTTACAGAGATGTATTTACATGTAGTACCATAATGAAACATGTATCACTTATTTTGTACTACAATATTTAATGATTGTTCGTACAATGACACAGTGAAACTATCGGTTGCTTGTGTGTGGGTGATCTAAATTAACGTTTCATTGGTATTTCACAATACATTTGTTTTTTGAACCAATGATTGTGCAAGTGCAAGAGTTCTTTAAAGATATGAATGCACAATGCAATGTTTTGAACATTGGACAGCCTGTGTTACAAGTGATGACCGTTTTGAGTTTTGTGTCTAGAGTTTTGAAAAATGACGTCAAGGTTCTGAAATTAGTGCCAAAGTGATTGTAAAAAACTGTATATGTATTTGACCTTGTAGTCTACAGGGCTCATTCTAAGGTTGTTTGTTCTGTTTCTGTAGCTGATTGTCTGTGTGTTCCTGACTACATGTCCATATTAGGCCTCCCTCTGTTCTGTTCTGTCCTGTTCCGTTCTCAGAACAACCCACAGAATGATTGTGCGTCCAAAATTGCATCATATTCCCTATATAGTGCACTACCTTTGACCTGAGCTCTATGGGCGAAGGGTGTCATTTGGGACACAGTTTGAGTGTAGATGTTGGCCACAGTGTTCCTTAGCTCTTTTTGTCCTCTGTGAGTCTGGTGATTAGGACGAGACCTGAGTGGGGAGAGAATATTGCATTCACTCTCTCTGAGTCTAATCTTGATGAATAGCTGAGAGTATAGGGACATAAATGACTACTTGACCTACAAGAAGGCTCCCCCCCTTAGCGGACCACTGAGGTTCATTTGAATCTATTCCTTTGATGCAGCTCTTTCCCTTTTGACCATTATAGTTAAATAATGACTGCATTAATTTGCTGTTTGTGAGGGAGTGAGTGTGTGTGTGTGTGTGTGTGTGTGTGTGTGTGTGTGTGTGTGTGTGTGTGTGTGTGTGTGTGTGTGTGTGTGTGTGTGTGTGTGTGTGTGTGTGTGTGTGTGTGTGTGTGTGTGTGTGTGTGTGTGTGTGTGTGTGTGTGTGTGTGTGTGTGTGTGTGTGTGTGTGTGTGTGTGTGTGTGTGTGTGTGTTTGTGTGTGCGTGCGTGCGTGTGTGTGTGTGTCCACACAAGTGTACAACCTATGTTGAGTGAGTTCATGCATGAGTGTGAATGTGTCTATTTTATGACTCAAGCCAACACTAGTCCTTTTTTAAGAATGTCTCATCTTCATGTTACACTAGACTATGCAGTGGAACAGTGGAACAGGCTCTTAGCACTACCATATGAAGTGAGAGGACTCGACCGCCCCATTACACTATCCTTATGGAGATTAAACATGACTGTCACTCCAGTACAGTGGCCTAGTAACCAACTGCATTGTCTGGGAACTCTAAAAGCCTTGTCTGCGTTTCCCTGGGACGCCTGTCACCTTCGCTCATACAGCCACATTCACAAGCCCATCTCACAGACAGGAGATGACATTCCGGTTCCAGAAGAGACATTTAATTTTTTAAAAGGGGTCCTTTTGAATTAAAACAATAACTACTGTCAAAAAATATATATATATATTTATGTCGCCTCCCCTCTCTCCTCCTATCCCTCCCTCACCATACACACACTCAAATTCACACGCACACAGACACACATATACACACACGTGTCCAGAATGGTGCCTGTCACAGTGGCATCATTCAAACACCAGAAGAAGAAGACTAAAAGCCCCCTCCACCAGACAGACAGACAGACAATATGGAACCAATATGGGCCTGGAGCCTCTGGGGAGAGAGAGAGGCTTCAGCCTGAAGAGAGGAGAGTAGGAGAGGCAGTTAGACAGGCAGGCAGGCAGGCAGGCAGGCAGGCAGGCAGGCAGGCAGTGAGTGACGCTGACACATATGGCCATCAAACATTGAAACCACATACATCTCTCCTGTGTCCTGGTTCTCTGGTTGTACTGTATGCCTTGAAGCTGGATTGTGTTGTATGTTGTGACCAGTAGGGAGTGGTGGATTGTGTTGTATGTTGTGGCCAGTAGGGAGTGGTGGATTGTGTTGTATGTTGTGACCAGTAGGGAGTGGTGGATTGTGTTGTATGTTGTGGCCAGTAGGGATTGGTGGATTGTGTTGTATGTTGTGGCCAGTAGGGAGTGTGGGATTGTGTTGTATGTTGTAGCGCATAGGGAGTGCTGGATTGTGTTGTATGTTGTGGCCAGTAGGGAGTGGTGAATTGTGTTGTATGTTGCTGCTCAGCTACAGTACTGCACAGATACTGATACCATAGAAACTAGTGTCCAGTAAAAAAGCCATGTTTCTGTATTGTGTCTTACACGGTGGATGACACAAAACAAGTCAGTGAATAGCAGTGGAGTGGATATCCATTGAGAAAGCCAACAATCACCTCAATATCAGCAAGCTATTTCTTCAAGGGTCAAAAACCACATGCTGTTACAGTAGTGTATCCTCAAGATTGAGCAGGAGCCATTGACAACACAGCTGAGTTCATTTTGGGACTTATAAAACACTGTTTGAGGAGAGAGTCTTTGCCTTTCATTCCTATGAACAGAGAGAGAGGGAGAGATAATCAGATGTATAATATTCAAATCAGTAATTGTCCATAATCCTAAAATATTCATGGGCCCTTGATTCTATTCACTTTCTCTTCACGACTCGTCTGATTTTATCTGACTTGATTTTAGTTGGAAATCTCCTCTTGGAGGCATCTGATGTTTACCCTCCTGTGGTATATTATGATTTGCTTTGGCAGTTGGCTGCTGAAGCCACTCTCACTCCCCCAATGTGTGGCACGTATCTGAAATGTCTCCTAATTTGATCAAAGACGATAAGAGGAAGAAGTGCAAAATGGGGAGAAAAGATATACTGCCGTTGTTGCTCACTAGGTGGAGCTGTTGGTCTCTGGCAGCCTGAACAGGTTCCCCTCATCACCTGTGTTCGTCAGACCTTGCCTGCTGAACACTTGGCTCTGGGTGGAATCATCCCACAGGCACAGATCTAGGATCAACTTACCCTGTCACATTCCTAACCATAAACCATTGGAGGGAGACACTGACCAACTCATTGGCTGTTTCCCAGTAAAACATGTCAAACAAATCCTTCTCTTGTTTCCTTTCCTATTTAAACACAGACCTCTGAGGTCCAGGTTAGGAATACTTTTTACATGACATATTTATGAGGCATTTATATGAGGAACAGACTCCCCTACACTGCAAGCAATCTATCAAGTCCCTTCAGATCAGTGATAGAAAAGAACACGACATTGGAAAAGGCTGTTGTGTAAGAGTATTGGGATGAATCCATTTTGTTCCATTAGAAGTAAAAGTACATCCAGAATAGTAGCCTATCTATGCCTCACAATACACTTACCTCAATGGGCAATCTAAAGCATGATGTCAGACATAGCACTTGTACATTCTGATGAGTACAATTACAACAACAAGAGGAGGGGATTCACTTCATCCAGACGAGGGTACACATTCAACTCTATAGCATCTATATGGCCTTATTAATATTTTCATTACATTGAATAATTCCTATGGTAATAATCTGAGAATGCACACCTGTTCCAAACGCTATTCCAGGTTGAAGATCAGAATCCACTGAAATTACAATCAATTGTACCTTTGTGTGAATCACATTCTGTGTAGAGACGATTCTGTCTGTCTTTCCTGTGAATGTGCGTTACGGTACTGTCTGACGTTATGGACAGCTCCCTGTGATGTGGGATTTTTTTTTTTGTTCTGCCTATTTATATTCACATCTTAACAAAAAACAATAACACACAAAGGAAAATAAGATTTGTATAACCTATGACTGCTTCTAGAGAGAGTGTCAATGGGAGAATGAATTAAGAGTAGGATACTATTTATAGGTCCGGTTTGTTTCGTTCTGGGCGAACCGGTGGATTTGATTTTATGTTTCTCTCTTGGCCGCTAGGGGGCGCGTAAGGTCTATGGTTTACGCCTTGATTTGACAGAGGCTCAGAAAGATTTCACACAAATCTCCAGATTTAGTGTGAGAGCAGTTACAGAGAGAAGTTGCAGAGGTTCTTGGCTGCATGAGGAATACTCACACTGTGGTGCTTAAAAGCTATATGAGAATATAAATGATTGACGCATATTTGGCCTACATATCACATTTCCATACATTATCCTCACACAAATAGTCTACACACGTTGCCTAGCAGGAAGCATACACAGCTATAAACTATCAATCAATGATATTAATTTAATTAATTATTGTGTTCTGTTGTCTTAATAGGCTAGTAAAAGGAATGAGCATTGCGCACACCCCAAAATAAGTTAGGCCTAGAGGTGCTGACTAACGGAGAGTAAACTGAAGGCTATAGAAATAGAGTTGCTACACTATGCACAGTATAAGCTCCTTGAAATGTGTTGGGAGGTTTACCTAATAGATTTCTGGGAATGTATACATAGTGTGCCACTCTCTTTATTTATTGTATAACTTAATACTTTCCTAATAGCCAATGCTAAACAACTATAAAACCCCAACTTCCTCCACTCTTCCAAATGTATCTTCCTCGTCAGGCAGGTATTCAGCTCCAACCAGTAACTGGGCTAGAAGCGTCACATCACAGAGAGCGCTATCCAGCATTGACAGGCGTCCCAACCGGCCAATCAGGAGTGAGCTCAGCGGGTGCCCAAGGATCCCGTTGGCTGGTAGGGGAGGTTCGCTGCGGAAAAAGCGAATAGTTGAGTGAAGAGCATTCAATAGTGGGAGAGGAGACCGCTGCAGTGTGTGCGCTGAAGGGAGCAGATATCACTGGAGAGAGAAGAGAGAGAAGAAAATCAGATAACAGTGGCTGTTTGAGAATTGGGATAATTGGAAAAAGCTCATAAAAAATATAATCGATTACCTGCATGGTACGGATTTGAATAATAAAAAAATATTGATATAGGGCCTATGCTTTTAGAGTAATCTCCTCACAATTATTATTAAGGAACACTCCGTATCATTGGAATGCGCCCTGCTGCCATAACGAGGTGCATCTGAAGCAGCCGAGAGCTTGTTGATCTCGGCAGTGAAGATAGGATTGTGGGGTAATCAAACCTGCATTGAATATCACAAACAAGATGGTCCATGTTTGACGGGACTACTAAAACGAAAACAAATCTCCAAAAGCCTTCTACATTTTGGGGACTTTCCTTGGACTAAGGGTAATGGGAATTGACGCTTTAAATAAAAAAGGATAAGATTTTTTCCCCCAAGTGCACTTGTTCTTTGGCGATGATTGTGCTATTCCTTTTGCTGTGTATCACGGATGGAGTGGTCTCGCAGATACGCTACTCTGTGCCGGAGGAGGCGGGTCACGGTACGTTCGTGGGGAATATCGCCGAGGACCTGGGACTGGACATGACCAAAATCGCCTCACGCCGCTTCCAGGTGGTGCCCAGCTCACGGACGCCGTACCTGGAAGTGAACATGGAGAACGGGATTCTGTTCATCAACGAGAACATCGACCGGGAGCAGATCTGTAAGCAGAGTGCCAGCTGTCTTTTACACCTTGAAGTGTTTTTGGAGAACCCACTCGAGCTGTTCCGCGTGGAGATAGAGGTCGTGGATATCAATGACAATCCGCCCAGCTTCCCCGAAACCGACATCACCGTAGAGATCTCGGAGAGCGCTGTCCCCGGTACCCGGTTTCCCCTAGAGAGCGCATTCGATCCGGACGTGGGTTCCAATGCGCTGCGCACATACGACATCACCACCAATAACTACTTCTACCTGGATGTGCAGACGCAGACCGACGGGAACAAATTCGCGGAGCTGGTGCTGGAGAAGCCGCTGGACAGGGAGCAGCAGGCGTCCCACAGGTATGTGCTGACTGCGGTGGACGGGGGGCAGCCGCCACGGACAGGCACTGCTCTGCTGGTGGTCAAAGTGCTGGATTCTAACGACAACGTGCCCGTGTTTGACCAGCCAGTGTACTCGGTGAGCCTTCAGGAGAACTTACCGGCGGGGACCCTCGTTATCCAGCTGAACGCCACCGACTTAGACGAGGGGCAGAATGGGGAGATAGTGTATTCATTCAGCAACCACATCTCCAGCCGCGTCAAGGACCTGTTCGCCATAGACGCGCGCACTGGACGCATCGAGGTGCGCAGTGAGGTAGATTTTGAGGAGAGCAGTTTATATCAAATATTCGTTCAGGCGAAAGATCTCGGACCCAATGCCGTGGCCGCGCACTGTAAAGTTCTGGTGAAAATAATGGACGTAAATGACAATGCTCCTGATATCACCTTCAGCACAGTGACCGAGTCGGTGAGTGAAAGGGCAGCCCCGGGCACCGTTATAGCCCTGCTGAGCGTGACTGACAAGGATGCTGAGGAAAACGGAAAGATTCACGTTGAAATCCTCGGTGACGTCCCGTTCAAACTCAAACCCTCCTTTAGGAACTATTTCACCATTGTAACAGATGGGCCCCTAAATAGAGAGAATGCTGACACTTATTCAGTGACTGTAGTTGCCAGGGATACAGGGACCCCTTCCCTCGCCACCAGTAAATCAATCAAAGTGCAAGTGTCGGATGAAAATGACAATGCGCCAACGTTTACGCAGCCCATATATGATGTGTATGTTACTGAAAACAATGTGCCAGGTGCTTATATCCACGCTGTGACCGCTCTGGACCCAGACGTTGGACAGAACGCTCTTATTAGTTACTCCATAATGGAGTGTGATATTCAGGGTATGTCTGTGAAGACATATGTTTCAATCAACGAAGAGACGGGCTACCTTTACGCACTCAGATCATTCGATTACGAGCTGTTAAAAGACTTCACTTTCATGGTTCAGGCGAAAGATGCAGGTAGCCCTGAGCTCTCCTCGAACGCCACCGTCAAAGTAATCATCGTGGACCAGAATGACAACCCTCCCTCCGTTATTGCTCCTCTGGGTAAAAATGGCACCGCGAGAGAGCCTCTGCCCCGCTCCGCCGAGCCTGGCTACCTGGTAACCCGTATCATCGCCATGGACGCAGACGACGGCGAGAACGCACGGCTCTCCTACAGCATCCAGCGGGGGAACGAGAACGGCATGTTCCGCATGGATTGGAGGACAGGAGAACTGCGCACTGCCCGGCGCGTCTCCACCAAGCGAGACCCAAACCAGATGTATGACCTGTTGATAGAGGTGAGGGACCACGGCCAGCCACCTCTCTCCTCCACCGCCAGTGTGTTCGTGGTGCTTGTGGACAGCGTGGTGGAGGACCACCGGGAGAGGGGCACCGCCAAGTCCAAGGAGACATCACTGGACCTCACCCTCATCCTCATCATCGCCCTGGGCTCCGTCTCCTTCATCTTCCTCCTCGCTATGATCGTGCTGGCCGTGCGCTGCCAGAAGGACAAAAAGCTCAACATCTACACGTGCCTCACCAGTGATTGTTGCCTCGGGTGCGCCACATGCTGCAGTAGGCATGCGCGAGCCCGCAAGAAAAAGCTCAGCAAGTCCGATATCATGCTGGTGCAGAGCGCCAACGTCACCGGGGCCGGTACAGCCCAGGTGCCAGTGGAAGAGTCCGGGAGCTTCGGCTCTCACCACCAAAACCAGAACTATTGCTACCAGGTATGTCTGACTCCGGAGTCGGCCAAAACCGACCTCATGTTCCTAAAGCCGTGTAGCCCATCTAGGAGCACAGACACGGAACACAACCCGTGCGGGGCCATAGTGACAGGGTACACTGACCAGCAGCCTGACATCATATCAAACGGCAGCATTTTATCAAGCGAGGTAAGAGTCCCCTCATACCTTTAAACTCCAAATACCCCCAGCATGTACTTGCTATCAGTATATTAGATATAGATTGTGATAACTGCAACATGTGCTTGTCTAAAAGCATTCTCGCTGCTGCTATTAGTATGTGGATAAAATATGAAATATAATCTGCATTCAGCATTATTAGGGAATTTAGTTTGTGTCCCTAACATTGATGCTAACTTTCTGTGTGTTGCATCACCCATTGTTTTAGCAGAGTCCCTTACAAATATGTTTGTTATATTGCATAACATATAAGTCTGCATATCCTGCTATTAATTTCCGGAACGGCAATTCAACTCAAAATTATGATTACTAGTTGCTGACTTGCTGCTGTTGGCAGTCCTGAGGGACATTATCATTGGAATAGTAATGATTGCATGTTTATGCTCTGCTCAGAAGTGGTTTTGTCGTGCTTTTAAAGTAGGATGGATTTGGAATAATAGAATAATAAATCAGGATAATATATTGGTGCCTTGAAGGCTGGTGTTGTGTGTGTGTGTGTGTGAGTGTGTGTGTGTGTGTGTGTGTGTGTGTGTGTGTGTGTGTGTGTGTGTGTGTATGTGTGTGTGAGTGTGTGAGAGTGCGCGCGTGTGTGGGTGTGTATGTGTTTTGTGAGTGTATGTGTGTGTGTGTGTTGTCATGCGCAATGACCGTGTCCGTTGTGAGAATACACACATTTCGCACACCAGTCACGATCGTGCTGAGTCGCAGAGGAACAAATATCCGTCTATAGTTGCCCCAGCCTGAATAGGTGCACCACTTCATTTTCTCTCTGGTAGTATATATATGCTGTTCACTAGGAGCTATATCAAAATATCGATATGAAACTATTCGTTGTTTAACATCAGCAATCACTTCAAATCTAACGTCAATATCAAAACGATCAATGTCAAATACCAGATTTCTTGTTGTTATTTTGTATTTAAAATCTCATGAAAAATCCTGTTTTGATTATACAATGCCACCGCGCCCCAAACTCAAAATGTCTCGTGCTTCTCTTTCAGACCAAACACCAGCGAGCCGAGCTCAGTTACCTGGTGGACAGACCTCGGCGTGTGAACAGGTAACGAGCACGCGCACCTGGTGCCCTGCCAGCTGACTGAGTGACGTGATTGAGAGTGTTGTTTAAAGTGGCCATTCAATGCCAGAGGGGAGAGTCTCTACAAACCACAACCATGCCAACATGGCTCAATACCTAAGACTGGTTAATTCACTCTCTCTGGTGCTGTCCACCTGTGTATACACTCTCAATCTATTTTGATGATAATTAATTGCAGGATAATGAATGATGATGATGATGAAGACGGTGAAAATAGTGATTAATGTTTTATTCTAACGTACTTTTTATTTGAATGTACTTTTGAATATAACAATAGGCCTACCACTATCTTCAACACTCTAAAGCATGTTCTCCACTTCCCTGTCCAGTTCGGCTTTCCAAGAAGCGGATCTCGTTAGCTCTAAAGACAGCGGTCATGGTGACAGCGAGCAGGGCGACAGTGACCATGACGCCACCAATCGAGGTCACTCTACCGGTAAGTCGAGTTTGTTAGATCTTGGCTGGTTGTGCGGCTTTTTGCTCTCTTATTTTCTCATTTAAAGCGCAGCAGAGGGCAATGACAGTGTTGTACGGCGTGGTATCTGTCCATGGTGATGATCGATCGATCATGGTGTGTGTCGAGGCCTATAGTCACTTATAAGCGTTAAGAATGTTAGCCGCGCCCGTGGCTGCTGCTTGTCTATAATATCACTCCGCTGTTATCTTCCGATTGTGGTGCTGAACGGAAAGCGACTCACTGCACACCGCGCTCTTCCGAATCTCGGCTGCTTTCAGAGTTCGTGACTGACTAGTCGTGTCATAGCCTACTCATTCTCACCATCTCAAATATTGCAAATGTGATTAGGATTTATGAAATATAGCCTTGAGTGTTTTTCTACCAGCATGTGACATACAAACTTCTCTCGTTTAGGCTACTGTAAAAATGGGCTGTTTCTGGTAGGCCTATATCCTAGTCGTCGTGTGTTTGTGAACTTGCTCTCTCCTGGCTGTAGTTCAATCTCTTTATTGTTTTGAACATGGGAAATGTGCTGAGGGACAATGCTGAACTTAATCCTGTTGTTAGTAAATATGCAGGGTCGTTAATGAGGGAGGGCCCGCTGCTAAATCCATGCTAGAGACCACTTGACGAGTACGTGACGGAATTTATAACGAGGACCGGTTGACTTGTCATTGGTCGGTGCGGTGTGGGAACGGGACCAAACTGGTTGCGGGCGCAAACAAACAAACGATTCATTCATTGACTGGGCGCTGCCTGCCCGCCCCGAGCCCAGCCCCCACCGCCTGACCGCATTCCTCCGTCCACATGTCTTTTTATCTGTTCCACCTAGAGGTTCACATGGGGTTTTAGAATTGGGCTTCTGAGCTATGAATGTCGTTATCTCTGCATTCATCCGTGCGATTGCTTTGGTCCAGCCCCGTCTGTCTATGCCCATGTTTTTTTGGTCTGCCCTTGGGGGTGAACCCACAGCATGCGAAATGAGCCACGTCTAGAAATAATAATGCCACTATTTTAAGCCTGTGGATAAACACTGAAGTTTAAAGGGAAGCATCCTATTTTATTTAGCCCACTTTAATTGTATGATGTATCTAGTTAGCTTGGACTCCTTTATACAAGTCACTTGTCAGATGGAACCCCTTTAATGTTCAACCAAAAGGCAAGTCATTTAGCTAGGTAGTTTATATCATACTACATATTCAATTTAAGCCAAATGGCCTATATGATAGGTAGTACAAGCTACTTCTACATAGAGACTACAGGAGCTATACTTCCTTTTTCCTAGAAACCTTATTTCCTTCATGTAGGGGTGACCAGACTCCTAATGCTAAGTGATGACTCTATGGCATGGTGTTGAGTGGACTTGCTGTCTTTGCTTTTGACTTTGAGTACCCTTGTATGGCGATAGGCTACTGTTGCTTTGTTATGGAAATATCGGGCAACTTAATGCCTTTAAACAGATTAATTGCTGTGCATGAAGTCTTTGTTTTATTAGGATAATTTATAGTGTGGCTTAGCATTCTCTGCTTGCACAATACTTGCAAATAACTGGCTGCTGTGCTATTTGATAAGTGATAATTGAGTTTGTGACAAGCTGATATGCCAGAACCTCAGGATTTTTCTTAATTTGATTTTTCGTTTGTATCAGTTCTATCTATTATTCAAATTTTTCATGAACAATTCCTTAATTTAATGAGGTGAGGGTGAACAATAGGTGAATTATAAACCGGGTGGTTCAAACCCTGAATGCTGATTGGCTGAATGACATGGTATATCAGGCCATATCTTGCTGCTGTGATGGCACACTGTGGTATTTCACCCTCTCTCTCTCTCTCTCTCTCTCTCTCTCTCTCTCTCTCTCTCTCAATTCAATTAAATTAAATTAAATTAAATTAAATTAAATTAAATTCAATTCAATTCTCTCTCTCTCTCTCTCTCTCTCTCTCTCTCTCTCTCTCTCTCTCTCTCTCTCTCTCTCTCTCTCTCTCTCTCTCTCTCTCTCTCTCTCTCTTTGTTTGGATAAGGGACACAGTACTTTCAGGGCATTTTGAAGTCGGACTGATATACTGTAGACTCATGTTTGTTCTTTAAAATTGTTTAAGTACTAAGGCCCAGAAATAATGTTGGTTTCCATTTACACCTTTCAGCTTTACTGAGGGCAGGTCAATTCTTTGCTGAGGACAGGTAAATTCTTTAATGAGAGCAGGTCAGTTCTTTACTGAGGGCAGGTCAATTCTTTACTGAGGGCAGGTCAATTCTTTACTGAGGACAGGTCAATTCTTTACTGAGGGCAGGTCAATTCTTTACTGAGGGCAGGTCAATTCTTTGCTGAGGGCAGGTCAATTCTTTACTGAGTACAGGTCAATTCTTTACTGAGGACAGGTTAATTCTTTACTGAGGACAGGTCAATTCTTTACTGAGGGCAGGTCAATTCTTTACTGAGGGCAGGTCAATTATTTGCTGAAGACAGGTCGATTCTTTACTGAGGGCAGGTCAATTCTTTACTGAGGGCAGGTGAATTCTTTACTGAGAGCAGGTGAATTCTTTGCTGAGGGCAGGTGAATTCTTTACTGAGAGCAGGTCAATTTTTTACTGAAGGCAGGTCAATTATTTACTGAAGGCAGGTCAATTCTTTACTGATGGCAGGTCAATTCTTTACTGAGAGCAGGTCAATTCTTTACTGAGGGCAGGTCAATTATTTACTGAGGGCAGGTCAATTCTTTACTGAAGACAGGTAAATTCTTTACTGGGCAGGTAAATTCTTTACTGAGGACAGGTAAATTCTTTACTGAGGGCAGGTCAATTCTTTACTGAGGACAGGTCAATTCTTTACTGAGGACAGGTCAATTCTTTACTGAGGGTAGGTCAGTTCTTTACTGAGTGGGTTTTTACTTTCTTCTTTTTTTCTGAAGAGACACCTAATATGCCTCAGGGAACATCTCATTTCCTAAAATGTCAAGAAATATCAAGATGTCTTGATCTGGCTTTTTAGCGGAGACGTTTTTCTCGGCGTGAGTCTGTGTTTTACTACTTCTCCAGATTCTAAATGCCAAATCCAAAACAGATTGATATTCACAAGCCTCCTCCTGTGATTATTGGATATGGAAATATGTTCATTATCCAGGGTCAGAGGTTGTTGTCCCGTTGCTTTGTTGAATTTTTAAAGAAGTGCAGGTACAGTGGGGGAAAAAAGTATTTGGTCAGCCACCAATTGTGCAAGTTCTCCCACTTAAAAAGATGAGAGAGGCCTGTAATTTTCATCATAGGTACACGTCAACTATGACAGACAAATTGAGAAAAAATAATCCAGAAAATCACATTGTAGGATTTTTAATGAATTTATTTGCAAATTATGGTGGAAAATTAGTATTTGGTCACCTACAAACAAGCAAGATTTCTGGCTCTCACAGACCTGTAACTTCTTCTTTAAGAGGCTCCTCTGTCCTCCACTCGTTACCTGTATTAATGGCACCTGTTTGAACTTGTTATCAGTATAAAAGACACCTGTCCACAACCTCAAACAGTCACACTCCAAACTCCACTATGGCCAAGACCAAAGAGCTGTCAAAGGACACCAGAAACAAAATTGTAGACCTGCACCAGGCTGGGAAGACTGAATCTGCAATAGGTAAGCAGCTTGGTTTGAAGAAATCAACTGTGGGAGCAATTATTAGGAAATGGAAGACATACAAGACCACTGATAATCTCCCTCGATCTGGGGCTCCACGCAAGATATCACCCCATGGGGTCAAAATGATCACAAGAACGGTGAGCAAAAATCCCAGAACCACACGGGGGGACCTAGTGAATGACCTGCAGAGAGCTGGGACCAAAGTAACAAAGCCTACCATCAGTAACACACTACGCCACCAGGGACTCAAATCCTGCAGTGCCAGACGTGTCCCCCTGCTTAAGCCAGTACATGTTCAGGCCCGTCTGAAGTTTGCTAGAGTGCATTTGGATAATCCAGAAGAGGATTGGGAGAATGTCATATGGTCAGATGAAACCAAAATATAACTTTTTGGTAAAAACTCAACTCGTCGTGTTTGGAGGACAAAGAATGCTGAGTTGCATCCAAAGAACACCATACCTACTGTGAAGCATGGGGGTGTAAACATCATGCTTTGGGGCTGTTTTTCTGCAAAGGGACCAGGACGACTGATCCGTGTAAAGGAAAGAATGAATGGGGCCATGTATTGTGAGATTTTGAGTGAAAACCTCCTTCCATCAGCAAGGGCATTAAAGATGAAACGTGGCTGGGTCTTTCAGCATGACAATGATCCCACACACACCGCCCGGGCAACGAAGGAGTGGCTTCGTAAGAAGCATTTCAAGGTCCTGGAGTGGCCAAGCCAGTCTCCAGATCTCAACCCCATAGAACATCTTTGGAGGGAGTTGAAAGTCCGTGTTGCCCAGCGACAGCCCCAAAACATCACTGCTCTAGAGGAGATCTGCATGGAGGAATGGGCCAAAATACCAGAAACAGTGTGTGAAAACCTTGTGAAGACTTACAGAAAACGTTTGACCTGTGTCATTGCCAACAAAGGGTCCAAATACTTATTTTCCACCATAATTTGCAAATAAATTCATAAAAAATCCTACAATGTGATTTTCTGGATTTCTTTTTCTCATTTTGTCTGTCATAGTTGACGTGTACCTATGATGAAAATTACAGGCCTCTGTCATCTTTTTAAGTGGGAGAACTTGCACAATTGGTGGCTGACTAAATACTTTTTTCCCCACTGTACCACTTGTTGAAATGAGTAGATGTATGATCTATTGAGTCTGTATTAGTAGATACATAATTCAATAATACAAACCTTTTCTCATTGTTGTGTATGGGGCCTGTGCTGACACTCAATGTAATGGTGTATTTATGGATGTTCGTTAATATGTAATAAGGACCTCACTCGTTAGGAAGCTCGGCATTTTTCCAAGCTGTTAGCGAGTCAAATTAATCCTCTTTGTAACAAAGCAAATTCCCCCTATGCTGACCCGTGGAAACACACGCACGCACGAATGCACGCACGAATGCACGCACGCACGCACGCACATACACACACACACACACACACACACACACACACACACACACACACACACACACACACACACACACACACACACACACACACACACACATACATACACGCACATACACACACATACACACAAACACACACACACACACACACACACATACACACACACACACATACTGCAATCTGAAACCTAATCAGTCTGTGTACCATAGGATTATCTGAGGATACATTTGGTGAGCAGTTTGGGTTTTACTCAGACACACACAACAAATGACATAAAACATGGACTACACCAAATTTACTTTTAAATATTAAGTTAGGCAATACCCTGGTTTTGCTTACTGCAAAAATATTTCTATCTGAATTGAATCAGACACTCATTTGATTCGTTTTTTGTTCCACAATATGCTATTCATGGACTCACTTGCACTTTCATGAAGAATGAACTCAGAATGAACTTCCTCTTTGAAAGAACACTGAAGGACTCAGGTTTACTTGTTTTTGCAATCAGTCATTGGTGTTATTGCATGGACAGTTTGAAAGGACATGAGCAGCCAAAGTAATCCAATACTTTTGAGCCTGTGGTTTCCATGATCTAATACCTTGGTCACAGGAAGCTCTGAGAGTGTAGTAGTGTGGTGTTAATGGTTTTAAACACGTCTCTCACTCTGCATGACCAGTCATACCTGCTGAGATATCACAGAGAGAAACTACCACAGAGGGTCACAGTCATTGATTCAATGATATTAGCCTGTTTCTCTATTTCCCAATGGCAAAACAAATAAAGAAATAAACTCCACACACAACATAACACAGTGAGGGAAAAAAGTTTTTGACCCCCTGCTGATTTTGTACGTTTGCCCACTGACAAAGAAATGATCAGTCTATAATTTTAATGGTAGGTTTATTTAAAAAGTGAGAGACAGAATAACAATAAAAAAATCCAGAAAAACGCATGTCAAAAATGTTATAAATTGATTTGCATTTTAATGAGGGAAATAAGTATTTGACCCCTCTACAACACATGACTTAGTACTTGGTGGCAAAACCCTTGTTGGCAATCACAGAGGTCAGACGTTTCTTGTAGTTGGCCACCAGGTTTGCACACATCTCAGGAGGGATTTTGTCCCACTCCTCTTTGCAGATCTTCTCCAAGTCATTAAGGTTTCGAGGCTGACGTTTGGCAACTCAAACCTTCAGCTCCCTCCACAGATTTTCTATGGGATTAAGGTCTGGAGACTGGCTAGGCCACTCCAGGACCTTAATGTGCTTCTTCTTGAGCCACTCCTTTGTTGCCTTGACCGTGTGTTTTGGGTCATTGTCATGCTGGAATACCCATCCACGACCCATTTTCAATGCCCTGGCTGAGGGAAGGAGGTTCTCACCCAAGATTTGACGGTACATGGCCCCATCCATCGTCCCTTTGATGCGGTGAAGTTGTCCTGTCCCCTTAGCAGAAAAACACCCCCAAAGCATAATGTTTCCACCTCCATGTTTGACAGTGGGGAGGGTGTTCTTGGGGTCATAGGCAGCATTCTTCCTCCTCCAAACAGAGTGAGTTAAGTTGTTGCCAAAGAGCTCGATTTTGGTCTCATCTGACCACAACACTTCTCCTCTGAATCATTCAGATGTTCATTAGCAAACTTCAGACGGCCCTGTATATGTGGTTTCTTGAGCAGGGGGACCTTGCGGGTGCTGCAGGATTTCAGTCCTTCACGGCGTAGTGTGTTACCAATTGTTTTCTTGGTGACTATGGTCCCAGCTGCCTTGAGATCATTGACAAGATCCTCCCGTGTAGTTCTGGGCTGATTCCTCACCATTCTCATGATCATTTCAACTCCACGAGGTGAGATCTTGTATGGAGCCCCAGGCCGAGGGAGATTGACAGTTCTTTTGTGTTTCTTCCATTTGCGAAAAATCGCACCAACTGTTGTCACCTTCTTACCAAGCTGCTTGCCGATGGTCATGTAACCCATTCCAGCCTTGTGTAGGTCTACAATCTTGTCCCTGACATCCTTGGAGAGCTCTTTGGTCTTGGCCAAGGTGGAGAGTTTGGAATCTGATTGATTGATTGCTTCTGTGGACAGGTGTCTTTTATAGAGTTAACAAACTGAGATTAGGAGCACTCCCTTTAAGAGTGTGCTCCTAATCTCAGCTCGTTACCTGTATAAAAGACACCTGGGAGACAGAAATATTTCTGATTGAGAGGGGGTCAAATACTTATTTCCCTCTTTAAAATGCAAATCAATTTATAACATTTTTACATGCGTTTTTCTGGATTTTTTTGTTGTTATTCTGTCTCTCACTGTTCAAGTAAACCTACCATTAAAATTATAGACTGATCATTTCTTTGTCAGTGGGCAAACATACAAAATCAGCAGGGGATCAAATACTTTTTTCCCTCACTGTACATGAATACACATCCCTCTTTAACTATGGTGAATTATATAGTTTCAAGTTTTAGTAGTCATATGTACAGGATACACATGGTATACACCGTCCAACTAAATGCTTACTTGCAGGTTCCTTCTCGACAATGCAACAACAATAAGAAACAATGAAAGATAAGAATAGTAAGTAAATGGCTCAGTAGAATAGAATAAACAATTTAGCATAAGTATAATACAGGAAGGCATAATTTATAGTACAATATTTACATGTGTTTTGGGGAAGGGGGGATTAGGGGGCAAGTGTTTAAACTGTGCAGTATTTAGCAATCCTAACAAGAGCCTGGTAGCAGCAGTTGTGATGTGTGTGTAGTATGAATGTATATGTGTGTGTGTGTATGTGTGTGTGTGTGTGTGTGTGTGTGTGTGTGTGTGTGTGTGTGTGTGTGTGTGTGTGTGTGTGTGTGTGGAAGTGTGTATGTCTGTGTGGGTGTGTGTGAGTGAGTGCATGTGTGCTAAGGTGCAGAGAATCAGAGCAGGTGGTCAGTCCAGTTCAAGTGTTCAGCAGTCTGATGGCTTGTAGATAGAAACTGTCTCTGAGCCTGTTGGTATCAGACTTCATGCTCCGATACCGTCAGCCCGACGGTAACGGAGTGAACAGCTCGTGGATGGGGTGTGTGGGGGTCCTTGATGATGCTGTGGGCCTTCCTCAGGCACCGTTTCGAGAAAATCCTGGATGGGTGGGAGCATGGGCCATCTTCACCACCCGCTGGAGGGCCTTGCAGTCATGGACGGACTAATTCCCGTACCAGGCCGTGATGCAACCGGTCGGGACGCTCTCAATGGTGCAGTGGAAGTATTTGGAGAGGACACGGGTTGGCATCCCAAATTTATTCTGCTACTGTTTTGCACTCTTGACAAGAGGGCACAAGGAATTTAAAACTACTGACTCTCTCTACTACCGTTGATGTGGATTGGGGTATGTTCGCTCCTCTGCTTTTTGAAGTCAACAATCAACTCTTTTGTTTTGCTGACTTTCACTTACCTCCTCCCTATAGGCTGACAAGATCGTTGTTGGTTATCAGGCCTACAACTGTGGTGTCGTCAGCAAGCTTGATGATCGACTTGGTGTCATGCAAATGTATTTTAGCAATCTTGGTTGGTTTTCACAAAGGGCTGTTTTTATTTGAATCTCTCCTTAGTTTATCGGTAGAAAGATGAGGTAGAACAAGGAAGACGATAACCTCATGACCTTTCCCTGTGCATGCTGGGCTTTCTAGTAGAGTGTTTACTGTTCTGTGAGGCTGAGAGTTTATCTCTCCACGTATGCTGCTGTTTCTGCAGATGGGGGCTGGCTTTGATCTTTTATGGTGAAAAAGAGAACCCTGCAATGAGGAATCAGAGATCTGAGTCTACACGTGCACGCGCACACGTACACACACAGCAGCAGCTTTGTGTGTATTTGTGTTTGTGAGTGAGTGTGTGTGTGCTCTTGTTTCCCCTGCTTCCTTTTTGTCTTGTTTCAAGATTCATTGATTATTACCTTTATGACCACTAACTGTCTCCTCTCTCCCTCCATCTCTCCTCCCTCATTCCCCTCCCCAGGCGCTGATCTCTTCTCTAACTGCACGGAGGAGTGCAAGGCTCTGGGCCACTCCGACCGCTGCTGGATGCCTTCCTTCGTGCCCTCCGACGGGCGCCAGGCAGCAGACTACCGCAGCAACCTGCACGTGCCAGGCATGGACTCCGTGCCCGACACTGAGGTATTTGAAAGCCAAGAGCAAACGGGCGATAAGTCATTCTCCACCTTTGGCAAAGAGACCCCCCTCAGCCACCTCCACCAAAACCACCTCCACCTCAGCCACCACCATGCCACCCACGCCAACCAAGCCACGTTAGAGAGGAAAGCGTTTGAGGCACTTCTGTCTAGCACGAGAGCGCCTTACAAACCTGCCTATTTGAGTGAGTATCCGCTTTGCACGGCAGCTCTGTAGCTAACCCACTCTACTCTCCAACCAACCAACCCTGATCTGATGATTGACTTGAATAATACAAAAAAATCGAATTACATTTCTTCCCCCATTGGCTGAAAGTGCCATGAAATTCTTTCACGTCCGCTGACCCATCTAATTCACCCTCTTGACAGTCTTTAACTAACTCTCTCTCTTCCTTTCACACATCTTCATTATCGCTCTCTCTATCTGTGATGATCTTATCCTCCGTCACAGACTTCCATATCAATTCACTCCCTCCTTCCACCACCAGCAGCAGCACTATCTATGTGCCTTTTTAATTAAATGTGCCATGATCAATTAGAGAAAAGTTTGGAATCCATAAGAGAGCTTTGACATCACTGAGACGGTGAAATGATGTATGATTTATCCCATTATGGGGAGATGGCTGTGTTAATATACACAATGCTTCCTTCGCTCAGAAAGGGAATTAAAAAAGGAGTGTTCATAATCTGTTTAGAAGAATAGAGGCTAAGAGATTACCCTCTCGTTTGTATTCTTCTGATGGTATTACTCTAGCTCCTAGGATAAAAACCGTTTGAGATAATCAGGGAAAGCAGAGGGAAGTGGAGGCATATTTCCATAGGGAATTTCTGTTTCCAAACTCCTTTTTCAAAGGGCACAATGAGAGACATCCTCATCACTGCAATTTGGTGATAATGCTTAATTATAATTTTGTCAGCACTGCCTTAAGATTTGCCCTCTTTTTCACCGCTCAACAGAACTCGCTAGAACAATTCTCAAACTGCTGCAGTCAGTCTCCCCTACCACTGTAATTCACAGCCACAGCATGGAGCACTACCTCTGATGAATACAGATGAGGTAGAGACTCTATAAAGATAAAGATGTCACCTTCTTCTTTCAGAGGCTATTCTCATTGACAAACATTTAAGGAGAGATTTCAAGTTACATAACATTTACATTTTAGTCATTTAGCAGACGCTCTTATCCAGAGCGACTTACAGTTAGTGAACATATATATATTTTTTTTATACTGGCCCCCCGTGGGAATCGAACCCACAACCCTGGCGTTGCAAACGCCATGCTCTACCAATTGAGCTACATCCCTGCCGGCCATTCCCTCCCCTACCCTGGACGACGCTGGGCCAATTGTGCGCCGCCCAATGGGACTCCCGGTCGCGGCCGGCTGCGACAGAGCCTGGATTCGAACCAGGATCTCTAGTGGCACAGTTTGCACTGCGATGCAGTGCCTTAGACCACTGCGCCACTCAGGAGTACATAAAATGTACATAAACGTTTCAATTTACATTACATCCTTGCCTTACCTTTTGTTCTGACTGGCAATGTGACATTTTTGCTCTGCAGCTCCAAAAGCCAGTAAGCTTGCAAACCTATCCTCGATAACATATTATAAACACTCTTGAACAATGCAATCAAACCATATTACACTATTGAATAATGCAACAGTTCACAAGCATGTGCAGACTATTAAAGAGTTTATTTTCTCTTTGGTACACACATTAGCTAAATGTAGCTTGCGAGACAATAACACAGCTAGCTAGCTATGCTCGCTAGTAACATTAGCTAACCTATTAAACATGAATGTTTACCTCTCTCAGATATATATATATATATATATATTATATGAGGTAAACTCAAAATTGTGAATGAAAATGTTGATAATTTCCCTGGTGAGTTGATCAGTTTCTTGCTACATGCTTCTTGCCTGGATGGTGGCTCAGAGCAGCCAAGGGGAAAACTCCCTTTCTTAAAGATACAGCGACAATTTCAGAATGTAACAGGCTACTGCAACTTCAGGAAAAAAAATCTATAAAACAAGTCTAAAATATAAGGACAATGTCTATACATTTAAACTGTTTCAAAAACCTTGCTCTGGTATTAATATTTTTACTGTATGAATATTGGGCTCAACGAGACAATTCTGTTTACACTGCCCTGCATAGAGGGGGGCAACTGTTGGGCGAGTGTCGTGCGCGACCTCCGGAGGTAGTGTTCGTGACGTGAGAAATACGCTCTTTTACATTACAGTAATGTCTCTCGAGAATCGATACCTCTCGAGAATCTCTCGAAATTCTCTTTAATTCTCGTCAATGAGAATGGACCCTCAGTCTCAACCCCTGTTCTTCTCCTCTCTGTCTCAGCGACTACACATGGGCGCATAGCTAATCACCACAAGACATTCCTTATTTATGTCTGGCAGGGGGTCTGGAAGGGGGAATAAGAGGGGGGATAATGGGGGGGGGGGATCCCCGTGATACTAAGAGGCTGTGTCTTATTTTGGAGGAGAGTCTGGATGGGTGAGGGGGGGGGGGGGGGGGGGGTATCCTCATGATACTAAGAGACTGTGCCTTTCCCCTAATCTGATAAAGTCATCTGTAGACACAGAGTCCCTTGTAGCCAGAGACAGCGGTCGGTCATTACCCTAATCAAACAGAGATGACAGAGCTGCTGCTAGCTGGGGGATTGTTGAGCTGTCATGGGGAAGGGGGAGTGAGGGGTGTAGGGGGTAAGTGGTAAGGGGTGTGGGGGGAGGGGTAGCTCCATTTGTTTCCATGTCGGCCGTGGCCCATTTGAGTTAAGACCCATTGTTGCTGTCCTAAATAAATTGAGCAAGCAATTTTCTCAGAGACACAGACCCATATTCACACGCATTATCAATGAGAGGTTTCACTGGGTGGATTTAAATGGTTCTAGAAGGGAATGGATGAAGAGCTCCCTAACCTTCCTAGACTTGTTTTCTTGACTGTTTTACAACACTGAGTAAATAAATGAAGGTTCCTCTAGATGCATTGTCTGTTTTTCTTTTCTCTCTCAGACAAACTTGACCCCTAACCAGTATGTGTTCTCTGCTTGCAGCGAGGAAAGGGGTTTGCTAGCTCCTTTCGCATGGACATACCAGAGACCGCATGACTTTACACAATCAGTCAAAACAACAAAAACTAAAAAGAGCATCAAGTTCCAGACTCCATTTGCTTAGCTGTTCCACGTCTGACTGACATTCCCCCTACGCAACACGGAACTCTGTGGACAACATTCCCTCCGGAATTCTCTTGGAACACTGCCGGCCTTGGAAACTACTACCTATGGGACTCTGGAGGGGTTGGAAGTGGTGGGGACAGACAGAGAGACACGGTTAGGAAACGGACAGACAGACGGCTCTACACGAGGACCCCACCCCTCTCAGCAGGACTGAGACAGAGTTGAAAACGGAACTAATAGAGGGGGAGAACGAGGGAGGAGAAGGAAACTGAGGAGGACGAGGATCCCTCCTCTCCAATCTATGTGTGCCTGTTTACAGCACTAATGTACATCTTTAACAAATAAAAAAATTAGAAAAAAATAACAGCTAAAAAATTGACAAAAATTAAAAACCAACTGGAAAAGGAACAACGACGTCACTGAGCCCTTTAGATGTTTATACTCACAGCATAAGCCAGTTGTACAGGAGATCTTTGTGCATTTTAAATGCAATACCACTGTTTTAGACTTGACTGTTTTTCTATTCAGTTTGTGTGGTCAGGTGTCTTATCTTCAGATCTAAAGTACTTCAACTTTATACAGAAAGATTATGGGCTGGATTATTAAGTTCAGTTTTTTGTTTCTTTTTTTCATCTCATAGTGGATCTGGACAGTGATGGGCTTCACCTTTGAATTCTGAGCTGTTTAGTAGTTTATATCACGTGAGAAGTGTTTAATGTACTCTTTTAAAAGCTTCAAAATGAATATAAATCTCTATATAAATCTCTATATATATATACTTTTTCTGAAGGTGTGCTATCCATTTGGTGGGTTTCCTATTCTGTGTAGACAGAGGTTCATAAGTTGCTTAAAGTGCTCTAGAAGGCTTGGGATGATCTTACAGGCTGGGGGTGTTTTTACCATGAAAACAGAACAGCCTTGTCTGTCATGTGATAGTTTTCACCCAGTTTGATTTCATTTTTCACTTTTGGATATTGAAAGCTGAAACTCATGTCTATAAATAAAAAGGCAGTAATAATTTAGATTGAATTCCATGGTAATTCTGTGTTATTGTAACCAAAAAAAGGGTCAATTAAAAAGAACAAAACAAAACGTGGCCATATAATGAAAGGTGTTGTGCACTTGCAGTGCAAAATCAAATATACGCACATACACACACTCACATACACACACATACACACACTCACATACACAGACTCTCACACACACAAACACACCATTATGCCAACAATAAATCAAAAAATGAGAAATGTACTGTCTGTCTCATGTTGTTTTATTTTCTATAACTTGGGCAGGTTTACATCTAATCACAGCGAAGGGAATGCCTGATGTGCTGACATCTAGTCCCAATGTACATTTATTGTATGTCTGCGTCCTTAGATAATTTCAATGAACATTTTACTCTGTAAAGTGTCACCTGTTTTATAGGATATGGTAAGGTTGTTTTCACATTCTCTATTTCTCTTGATTTTACATACACCCCTTCTCCATCTAGTGACAGATACATGGTAAGGGCATGTTATATTTCGGGGGAAGCTTTTTGACGGAGTCTGAATGGACGAAGGATGCACAGAAAGACTCCAGGCACAGTTCTATTATAGAATACATGCTGCAGTTCTGGAAGATTACATGTCTCAATTGGACACCCACGTTCATTGGCTTTCAATGGAGTTCACCACTTTGACAACCGCTAAAGAGAAATCATATAAAATCTATGTTTATATGTGAGTGGTGAGAAATGCCTATATAGGCCACACAATGATGGCATATGTTAGCTAACACACTGTGGCCACATGCTGCTTTTAGTCGTTTGTCAGTCTGGTGCATTTCCTCTCTAAAACCTAATCTCAAAAGTTGACATGCTTTTTTAATCTATTCATTTCAAACAGAACAAGTGCTTAAAATAGAACTTATGTCTTCAATTGTACAGTACATGTGTAATCTTCCTGAAGTGGCAGTAATGGCACATAAACAAGGTGGAATAAGATATTAGCTACAGCTGGTGACTAACCAATAGCAGA